GGGCTTCTTCCTGCTTTCCCTTTCGCCTCCCTGCATTGTGCCTACATATGCAAATTAACCGCCATCTTTGTTGGCAGTTAACTGCCATCTTAGTTGGCAGTTAATTTGCATATCACCCTGATTAGCCAATGAAAAGGGTAGCGGTCGTATGCCAATTACCATGTTTCTCTTTTATTAGTGTAGATTAAGATGCAAGAGCTTTGTATCTTGACCCCTACAAGCAAAGTTTAATCTTACAACATACAATTAACAGCTGAAAGCAAAAATAATAACAATGTAAGGCAGAAATTATGACATTTGAAAATGCCCAAAACAGAGCAAAGAAAAATAGTTTTGACAAAATTGTCATAATTTAAAGATGCTTTGATTGTCTATATCAGTGATGGTGAATCTTTTGAGCTCGGCGTGTCAGCATTTTGAAAAACTTAACTCTGGTGCCATGTCACATATAGAAATTTTTTGATATTTGCAACCATAGTAAAACAAAGACTTACATTTTTGATATTTATTTTATATATTTAAATGCCATTTAACAAAGAAAAATCAACCAAAAAAATGAGTTCGCGTGTCATAAGTTCACCATCACTGGTCTATATAGAGGATCCAAGAGAATCTACAGCTAAACTATCAAAATTAAAAATGAATACCATTTGTAATAGCAACAAAAACTATAATAGGAATAAATATAACAAAATTCACATAAAATCTTGAACATTTCTCAATAGTGAGGTATGATTAGATAACCTTAATAAGGAAAGGAGTAAAGAAATATTAAGGAAGCAAAAGAAGACAAATTCATTTATTTTAACTTATTTGATCTTCACTTAATCTTCTCTTTATAAAATCTTGTCATGTGTTACGCAAATCTGGCAGTAAGAGACTGTTTAGAACATATCAAAAGCTTGAAGATTAAGTATGGATTTACAGGGTAACCAATGACCTGTGAGTCCACAAACTCTTCTTTACTTCTAAATATGAAGCTGAAATAAATCTCAGTTTCCCCGTCTCTGAAACTGAAATGGTAATAATACTTAAGTCTGACCTACCTTATTCAAGAATGAATGAGATCATGTCTACAAAATGAACTCCTGACGGAAAAAGTGTTAGATATGTATTGCACTTAGAGTTGTTGACCTTGGAAGATATAAAATTCTATCTTTTTAATCTTTGAATATGAGAATCTCAGATTTAAAAATTAAAAGTAAGTCAGAAATCCAAGAGTTCACCGTTGTGAGTTTCTCACTCAATGTTGAGCAAGCCTGGACCTGTCAATCTAATGTACAAAAAGCACCACTCCTCATTTCCTTTCCAACAAATTAACAAAGACTACAAACAAAACTAAACTTTTTAGCCAAAAAAATAGGCTCTGTGATGCCAAAAGGGTGAAGTACAGGATAAAAGCTAAAACTGAACTATCATTACCATATAACCATATGTCAACAGCAAAGCTATCTCCCCTATTTACAAGGACTGTTAACTCTTATTAGTGTTTTGAATAATAATAATTAAAAAAAGCCATACTGCCCTGACTGTATGCTCAGTGGATAGAGCATCGGCCTGTGGACTGAGGGGTCCCAGGTTCGATTCCGGTCAAGGGCATGTACCCTGGTTGCAGGCACATCCCCAGTAGGGGGTGTGCAGGAGGCAGCTGATCGATGTTTCTCTCTCATTGATGTTTCTAACTCTCTGTCCCTCTCCCTTCCTCTCTGTAAAAAATCAATAAAATATATTTTAAAAAATAATAATAATAAAATAAAATAAAAAAGCCATACATTTTCTGATTTGGGACAAACACTAGAATATTTTTTTAAATGAATGCCAAACTGCATTTTAGTAAAGAGTTAAATTATGCCAATAAATATGGGAATGAGGAGACATTTATTTTATTTTTTATTTTTAAAACATATTTTTATTGATTTCAGAGAGGAAAGGAGAGGGGAGAGAAAGACAGAAACATCAATGATGAGAGAGAAACACTGACTGGTTGCCCCCTGCACGTCCCCTACTAGGGCACATACCTGCAACCTGGGCATGTGCCCTTGACCAAAATCAAACTCAGGACCCTTCCGGCCAATGCTCTATCCACTGAGCCAAACCGGCTAGGGCTTGAGGAGATATTTAAAAAGATAAATGTGGTGACTTGCGGGGAGGGGTGTGGAATATAGGGGAGATAAATAGTGATAGAAGGAGGCTTGACATGGGGTGGTGAACACACAATACAGTGTACAGATGATGTGTTGTGGAATTTATGCTTAAAATCTGTATAATTTAATCAGTGTCATATCAGTAAATTCAATAAAAAGGAAAAGTGAGATAAAATCAATCAAAATAATATGAATAGAAGAGGCAACAAAGAAACAACAAAATAGAGACCTATATATGTGGCTTTTTTTCATATTCCCCCATCTCATCATTCTCTTCCACTCTTTCTTTTCATCTTTTCTTCACTAGAGTAAGGACATGATAGAAAGTAGCTTCTAGACCAGGGGTGGGCAAACGGTTTGACTCGAGGGCCACAATGGGTTCTTAAACTGGACCGGAGGGCTGGAACAAAAGCATGGATGGAGTGTTTGTGTGAACTAATATAAATTCAAAGTAAACATCATTACATAAAAGGGTACGGTCTTTTTTTTCAATAGTTTTATTCATTTCAAACGGGCCGGATCCGGCCTGCGGGCCATAGTTTGCCCACGGCTGTTCTAGACCTAGGCAAAAAGGGCAAACTAAAACCATCATGTTTCACCAAATAGATATTTATGATAGAAGTGGTTCTATATAAATGGATAAACATATAAATAAATTAATATATAAATGGATTTCTACATAGACAAGTGTATAATGCAGCATAATCTATATATATAATCAGTGTCATATCAGTAAGTGACCATCCGTCCATCCGACCATCTGGTAGACATGACGCACACTGGCAATCTATAGTAACAAAAGGGTAATATGCTAATTAGACTGAACGTCCTTATGGGTATCATTCCGGACGTCCTTCCAGATGAAGCTGAGGCCGGAGCAAAGCCCAGGTCCCAGGTGCCAGAGGGAAGCTGGTACCAGCAGCCGGGGGAAAGAAGGCCTACTCTTGCACAAATTTTTATGCATCGGGTCTCTAGTACATATAATAATATAAAATAATGAGAATTTTTAAACACAAGAATTTATCTTAATGGGCATCATCCTTCAAAGTATAGAAAATTATTCTAATTCACAGAGGACCTCAAATCTGGTCGGAGGTATTATATTCTAATAAGCAATCAAGAAGAACGTAAAGTCCTGTTTTAATTAATATATATTTTAATATATAATAATTCTATAGTATAAAAAGCAAAATTAACAAAAAATCAATTCGATTAGATAATGGAGAAGCCAAAGAAAAGTCAAAAATTGAAGCCTGTAGAATTATGAGAATGTTAGTGCTATATCACTGCAAGAAATGCAGCTATTATACAGCAAATTAGTTTTCAAGAAAATGAACCCCTTTTTAGACATGTCACACATGATTTTTCAGAGGGACTTTCAAATGGAATAATAGTCTAATTGACAATAAAAGCCAGAAACATGTTAGTAATAAAAAGGGGAAAAAACTAAGTTTCATTAGCATAGAAATGATCATTAAAGTCCCAAAAGTATCAAAGCTATCTGAAGTAAATGTAGAATAATGATGCAGAATAATGAAGGGAAGAAAGTCATAATGGTTACTGAACTTTAGAAGAATATCTTTTTAAAAAATATTTATTTTTAGAGAGAGAAAAAAACATCGATTTGTTGTTCCACTTATTTATATATTCATTGGTTGATTATTTTTTAATATGTTTTATTGATTTTTTTACAGAGAGGAAGGGAGAGGGATATAGAGCTAGAAACATCGATGAGAGAGAATCATCGATCAGCTGCCTCCTGCACACCCCCTACTGGGTATGTGCTCACAACCAAGGTACATGCCCTTGACCGAAATCGAACCTGGGACCCTCGAGTCCGCAGGCCAATGCTCTATCCACTGAGCCAAACCAGTTAGGGCTATGTTTTTATTTTAAAATCCACACCCGGTGATATGTTTCCATTGATTTTTAGAGTGAGAGGGGGAGAGAGAAAAAAGCATAAATGTATGAAACATTGATTGGCTGCCTCCTGCATGATCCCTGACCTGTAATGGAACCTGCAACCCAGATACGTGCCCTGACTGGGAACTGAACCTGCAACTCTTTGGTGTATGGTACAACGCTCCAACCAAATGAGCATACCAACCAGGGCCATTGATTGATTCTTGTATATGCCCTGACCTGGGATTGAACCCACAACCTTGGCATGTTGGGATGCTGTGCTAACCAACTGAGCTACCTGGGCAGGGCTTAGGGACATATCTTCTAAGTTACCAAATAAGCACCTAGAACATACATACCTCCATACTAGTACTTATAGCATTGTATTTTATTTTCAGAGCTACCTCTCCCTATGACTTCCTTGTGACAAGATGTTCAATAAAGGTTTACTGGATAAAAGTATAACTAGTTAGGGACCAAAGAAGAAAGAAAACAAAAAACAGAACACAAACCATTAAAGAGTAGGAAAATAGGGAGGTTTTCTTGATTATTATTTATTAATCTAGCATAAATAAAACACCCAGAAATATGAGCCTGTTTGTATAGGAATTGATCTGAAGTACTCCAGGTCCAGAGAAAATGTACCTTGATACAACCTTGATAGAATAGATTGAAAACTAAAGGAAACTGATGTTGAATGGCTCTACAATATACTAGTACAGTTCCCCTAAAGAGAGATCAGACCTTCTTTTAGGCAGAGAGAAATCAACTGAGCAATAAAGTAGATATAACATAGTTAACGAACTAAACTCAGAGGCACACTGTTAATTTTGTATAAGTATGTAATTCTTTAGCATCAGAAAATCTGATGGTTAATGAATCAGCCATCAGAGACTTCCTGATGAAGCTAATTAAAGAATATAAAGATTTGTGAATGGACCAATTTATTTATTTATTTATTAAATATATTTTATTAATTTTTTACAGAGAGGAAGGGAGAGGGATAGAGAGTTAAAAACATCAATGAGAGAGAAACATTGATCAGCTGCCTCCTACACACCTCCTACTAGGGATGTGCCTGCAACCAAGGTACATGCCCTTGACCAGAATCGAACCTGGGACCTTTCAGTCCACAGACTAACGCTCTATCTACTGAGCTAAACCAGTTAGGGCTGTGAATGGACCAATTTAAAGCAGTTTGAAAATATTAAGGAATGCTAAATAAATAACAATAGTAATAAAGGCATAATGACTGATGCATAAGCTAGAAAGATAAGGGATTCAAATTCTGGTTTTGGACAATTTCTTTTGTGAGCTTCAATGAGTCATTTCTGTTGCTAATTAGTAAGAATAAATAGCAATATTGAGTGGATGTTGGTAGTATTAAGAATCCTAACAGCTGAAGAGAAAACAGGCTAACGTTGGCTACTAAATATGATTAAGACTCAATTTTTATTGTGTACTTGATGTGCAGTACTTCCTCTTTGGACAAAAGCCATCTCCACTTCATCACAAGACTATAAAAATATGATTAAATAGCCCTGACCGGTTTGGCTCAGTGGATAGAGCGTCGGCTTGCGGACTGAAGGGTCCTAGGTTCGATTCTGATCAAGGGCATGTACCTTGGTTGCGGGCACATCCCCAGTGGGGGCTGTGCAGGAGGTAGCTGATCGATGTTTCTCTCTCATTGATGTTTCTAACTCTCTATCCCTCTCCCTTCCTCTCTGTAAAAAATCAATAAAATATATTGATTTTAATCATATTTTTAAAATATGATTAAATAAATATGCATATAATTGCTTTGATTTTTTAAATAACAATTACATTAAGTCAACATGAAACAAACTGTCTTAATGCCTGTATAAACAAAATAAATAGGTGATTATTCCATAAACTATACTCAATTCATTATCTTCTCTCTAGTATTAACAATGATGATAAAACCATTCCCTTATATTGGACATGGCTTTTAGTCTCATGGAAAATGGGTAATTCTTTACCTTTTAGGAAGTTCCTGTAGAACAAACCACCATAAATGCTTTCTGCAGAAGCAACTATAAAAAACAAACAAGAAAATATCATAAATAAAACAATTAAATGGATTTTATCTAAAGAATCAAATGGGACCTAAAAATACGGCTTATAGACACAACATAAAAAAGGTGACCACTACTAATGAGTTCAGTAAAAATGGAGGCCTCAAAGAAAAATTATGAAATCATATGACTGTTTGGGGGCAGAATAACTTCTTGGAGATGGGACCAAATAGCAAGTCTTTTCACTTATATTCAATACCAGTACTGTTTCTTTGGATATTACTATTCCCAGTAGGAAAGGGATTTAGAAAGACTGCAAACTGTAGCTAGTAAATAGAGTATATCATGCCAATAACCCATATTCCAGTGTAAGATTCAATAAAAGTTTTTGGCTTTCTTTTAACCAATTTACTCATTAGTAAAAAAATACTTTATTAGACTATCAGGTAAGAATTCTCTGTATCTAGAGTTCTAAATTGGAACATTAGGACATTTGGAGCAATAATTCTTCATGGGAAGAAGGTGAAGGAAAAAGCATACCCTAAGAAGGGAAAAACGATGAGAACTACATGGATGCTTTTTTCCAAATTGAATATGTCCTCTCACTGAAGAATGTGATCTGATAATTAAGAATCTAATAATCACTGCCAAATGTGTCTATCCCTCAAGAAAGTTGTATTCTTTAAGTAGGGAAAAAAGGTTGAGAATGTGACTAATGGCTACTGTACTGAGTAGCACAGATATAGAACATTCCCATTATCACAAAAAGTCCTATTAGATAAGCAATGTCCTAGATTTTGAAAGATCTGGACAAATGGTACATACTTCAAAAGGCATAAGTCCAAGTAGCATAGAACATTTAATAAGAGACAATCATCTATTTTTTTTCTTAGTGTTCCTCACAGGCATACACTGGCCATATCTTAAAGAACAGTGGGTCATTGGGACAGGGATGGCATGTAGGAGTAGATCTATACTAGTGATTTGTGAGGAGCTAAAACATTAACAAGAAAAATTAACAAAATCTGTATGTATTGCAGCATGTTCATGATATTTTTCAATTGCATGTCACACTTTTCTTCTAACACCTTCTCTTAGTTTTAAGAAGTATCATGTCAACAACTGTTGAAAATGGGCACTTTTGGTGCACATGCTTAAGGAAAATAATCATCCTACACTCCATCCATCCCCCAATTTTCAGCTATACTTCTGTTTCTGTATTAAAGTGCTGTCATTCAAAGATGACAGTAGAGACTAATTTGTAGAACACATTTTTAGAGCAACAGCATTCCCCAAAATTCCCTCTGTAGAACAAATGATCTTAAAAAACAAAAAATTTTTAAAGAGCTATAAGGTCAAATATGTTTAGGAAATGTTATACATAACCCGTTTTGAATGATTCACAGTCCACGATGGCATATTAAAGGCTCTGAGAAGATCTAAAGTAATGACACTTTAGATTCCACTTTGTAAAGTATTTGATTGTCTAACAGACTCTAACTGCTATGCTGTACACCTGATACTAATACAAAATAATATTGTAAACTGTAATTTAAAAAAAAAAACTCCTTGATTTGAACTGGCATTCCCCAAATGTAGATGACTACATTAGCTCCTTTCTCCTAACTCATATAAACATCCTGTAGCACACATGGTGGGAAACAATGTAACAAATAACACTTGTTAAAGCCTTCAACAATTACTGATGGAAAGAAACCATGTAAGCATTTCTCAGCTTCTCATGGATGGATCATTCCAGTAATAAAATTTGCTGGTTTACTGGAAAGTTGAATTTTGTGCCTCTTTTAGAGATTTTGAAGAACTAAGCCCCAATACCTGTCACTTTTTAAAAATATGTTTTAATTTTTTTTGAAAGAGAGAAAGGGAATGTGATAGAGAGAAATATTGATGAGAGACAAACACCATCGATCTTGCATGCCCCTACTGGGTATTGAGCCTGCAACCTGGGCACGTGCCCTGACCAGGACTTGAACCAGTGACTTCTTGGTTTATGGGTCAATGCTCAACCACTGAGCCACACCAGCCTGGAAAGCCCCAGTACTTGTGAATATGTCCTTATTTGGAAATAAGGATGTCATCAAGTTAAGATGAGGTGGTACCAGATTAAGGTGACCCTAAATCCCAGTGGTATCCTTATAAGAAGACACAGACACAGATTAACATCAGGTGAAGACAGATGCAGAGATTGGAGTGATATGTCTACAAGTCAAGAAACACCAAGGACCTGCCAGAAGTTAGGAGAGAGACATGGAATAGATTTCTCCCTCAGAGCCTCCAAAAAAGGAACCAAACCTACTGATACTTTGATTTTGGACTTTTAGCTCCGTAACTGTGAGGGAATACCTTTATTTGTTTTAAGACACCCAGTTTGTGGTACTTCGTTACAGCAGCCCTACATAAGTAATATTCTATCTACCTGGTGAGACTATGACCACGTGAACAGAAAAAAATCTAGAAGAATATATATTGAATGCTATTTAATAATTATAACAAGAGGTAAGATTATCAGAAAGTCTCGCTTTCCATAATATATACTTCTGTAATGTTGAATATTTTGTGAGAAGCATATATCACCTTTCCTCCTACCAAAGGAAGGAAGGAAGAAAGGAAGGAAGGAAGGAAGGAAGGAAGGAAGGAAGGAAGGAAAATAAGTACAGAGAGATCAGAGACAGTCCAGGGAAATGCTCCCTATACTACATGGGTTGAGGAAATCCATTAGGCTCAAAATACCTTTGGAATGGGTTTCTTGCCAAAAGATAGTGTGGCTCAAGTCCTTTGCTTTGAGTGAAATCAAGTTTATATTAGCAAGAGTTTACTGGATTAGAATCAATGCATAATCTAAAACAACCATATATAGACCAACATCAATCTAGCCACATAGCTAACCATCTCTCTCATGAATGGTGGAAACTACGTCCAGTCTGAGTGGAATTCATGTAGAGTAGAAGCAAACCAACCTATCATACCTCTCTTGAGGATGTTTACTGACAGGTACACAAAGAGAAGACATATGATTATGGTTCAGGTGAGAAAATGTCTTGTAGAGCCTACAGTACTACCCAATCTCAACTGGGACTCAGGGTGATTGCCTCCTCTAAGGTTTTAGGACAACTTCATTCCAAAGTATCCTTCAATAAATCTACACGCACACACACACACACACACACACACACCAAAACCCAAACAAACAAGGAAGTTATCACTTTACAAGTTCAAGAAAATTAGTTTCAGAGTCACTCAATGCATTAGCTTCTCTGAAAAGTTTAGGCAAAATGGCAAAAAGAATAAGTGCCAAATGGAAGAGATATGTATTTTCAAACTAACTGCAAGCTAGGATTATCAAAGTATGCACTATTCATCATTTTATTTCTTTTCTTCCTCCATTATTTTTTTGGCTTCTCCAACTACTAAAGGCTAGACATGAAAGAAAGGAGATAAAATATAATGTAATATCATTTTGCTGTAAAAGAGGTGAAAACCAAAAGCAAGAGTGAGATTATTTCTGAGCAATTTTACCTTAAGCCAGTAAAATAAAGGATCCTGTGATGTCATTCTACTCAAGTTTTCCTATATGACACATTTATAAATCTATCAGCAGATACTTATTGCATAATCATTTAAGTTTTTTAACTATGGAACAATCCTGAAGTGGTAACATAAAAGATTATGACTAATTGAATTTTTAAAGTAAACTATAACATAAATCATGACAATCAAAGATAGAGAAATCAACATTTTTCTTCCTCCACTTACTAGTTGTTACACAATGAAGAGTATTTTCCTGTTGCTTAGAATTTAATGCTTCTATGGAAATCACTAGCTGTCCTTCTAGCAATGCTCCATTTGCTGTTTCACACTTCCAGTGAATTATTAAATATTTCAAAATCTGAAAAGGGCATAATTCAAAGAAAACACAATCTTCTTTAGAAATCATGATAATAAAATTATGATAGTTAATAATTTAATTTCAAAAAATAATCTTGCTTGCAAAATGTCAGATTTACATTTGTTCAGAACAAAGCATTGTGTCTAAACAGAAGAATAGCTTAGGGGAGTGACCTAAAGGAGACAGTGAAATTCAACACAATGCCCAACAAGACAAGTGGAGACACCAAATTGCTTTATTCAAAGAATAAGTTAATCTGGAAATAATTTGAAAAATTAAGTGGGGATTTGTTTTTCTGTCTCTTTTTTTTTCTTCCCAAATAAAACCAAACATTAAGTTATGACTCATCTTTAGCTTTCATTAAATCAACATTTCTGAGGGTCATAATACTAGTTAAGAACACTGGCTCTGGAAGTAGATGCCTCTTTTTTAACCTTGATGCCCCAATTCTAGCACGTGACCATGGGAACTTATTGCTCTGGATCTCAGCTTCCTCATTTATAAAAATGAGAACCACATACAGCTACTGCTGAACATGCAAACTGCTTAATACAGTGCCTGGCATGTAGTAAATGCTTAATAAATATTACCCATTATCCTATATTACCTATAATAAAATGGTAATATGCAAATTGACCGTAACAGGAGAACAACTGGGAATGACTGGTCACTATGACACACACTGACCACCAGGGGGCAGGTGCTCAATGCAGGAGCTGCCCTCTGGTGGTCAGTGCGCTCCCGCAGGGGGAGCTCTGCTCAGCCACCCAACCTCCCGCAGTCCCTCCCCCTGGCCGGCTGGCCCAGATTGACAGCTGCCAGGTCCCCAGGGGATTGGGCCTAAGCCAACAGATGGACATCCCCCGAGGGGTCCCAGACTGCAAGAGGGCACAGGCCGGGCTGAGGGACCCCCTCCCCCCACCGCAGTGCACACATTTTTGTGCACCAGGCCTCTAGTTTCTAATAAGCTCATCTGCAGTAGACTGCACACAGTATTTTAAGTTGAACAGATCTCCAAGATGTCTGGATGAAACATTCAATCTTGAAGAGATAAATTTGAAATAAAACATATTGTATTTAGTTCATTATTTATGAATGTGGACACTCACTTCCACATGAAGGTACCATACTAATGATTACGTCTTTAAAAAAAAAAAAAGCATATCTCAGTAAGAGAACTTGGGAACTCAGGTCCTAATTTGCACCGGAGTTTACAAAGATGGCCTCCAGGCTTTGCAGTCTAACTCTCCTCGCATCCGCGGCTTCCTTATCGGTAATGAGAGAGCACAGATGGGAAATGAACGCTGACCGGCCGAGGCAGCGGCTCTGCGCTGTGTCCTAGGTTCTGTCGCCTGTAAAATCTCATCCTCCCACTTTCCTGGATGATAACCAAGGCGGCAGGAAGGCCCACGAACTCTACCTGCTGCCAGGTGAACCCCGTGTGTGCAGCTTACGTGCTATCTCCTGGGCCTAGTGTCCCTGACAAGGCCCGGAGCTAAGAATCAACCTGAGCCCTAACCGGTTTGGCCCAGTGGATAGAGCTTCTGAAAGGTCCCAGGTTCGATTCTGGTCAAGGGCAGGTACATCCCCAGTGGGGGGTGTGCAGGAGGCAGCTGATCCGATGTTTCTCTCATGGATGATATTTAAAAAAAAAAAAAAGAATTCAACACGAGAACGGCTGTGGAAGGGCCGTCATGGATGACAAGTGGTGCTGGCCGGTGCCAGGGGCTCAGTCCCACCTCCCAGAGCAGGAATTGTGTCTGGTCCGTGCTGTGGTCAGAGCTGGGTGCGGCCTTCCATCCCTCACCCGGCGGCTCCCGGCCAGGACCCAGGAAGCCACCCGCACCTGGGCTGACCGAGGGCCCACAACCGCTCCCCTCTCTCCCGTTTCGCATGGGTTGGTCCTGTCCCTTCTGTCCACGGCCCTCCCGGCACTGGATGGGGGCCCCTGAGGATGGCACCCATGCCCTAACCCGGGCAACCGCGACTGTTCGCCGAACAGTTCCACTTCCTGGGCCTCGGTTTTCTCAGCTGTGACGCGGGGCGGCAGCGTGTGGCCTTCCCTCGGCTGAGTAACTACCCCTCCGAGACCCCCGGTGCTTCACTGCCCAGGCCCCCACACCCGGGGCTCCCACACCCGGGCCTCATCGCTCCTCACAGCCCTGTGCGCGGCAGGCTGATCGGCACAGAATCCTATCGTTCCCGAACTTTCCTTTGCCCCCTCAGGCAAGGCCACGCCCCTCTGCCCGAACTTCGCGAGGTCTCCCAAAGCCCCGCTTCTCGTAGACAACCCTCTGCTTTGTCTCCCTTCCCGGCATCATCACCTCACAGACAGCCACAGCCGTCCCCTCCATTTCGCACAAGG